AGACGAGTTAAGAACACGTAACTTTTATCACGTGTCCGGTGCGGAAAACCCTGCCGATTGTGTATCCCTGGTCTCACCCCGATGCAAATAATGGACCATCCCCTTTTTTCCACGGACCTTCTTGGGTTCACTTGGAACTCACGTAGGGGCCAATAACCGATTTCGACCCTTCGTCAGTGTCTCAACCACCGGAAGAGAAGAGGCACGCTCTGGTGGTGAACGTTTCTAGCGAGGTTTCTCCAATCATTGCTTTGACGAACCGTTTGTCCTCTTGGTCGAAATTATTGCATAGCGTGATTTACGTTTGTCGATACTCGAAGCTTTTGCCGCGACGTTTGTATATCGTAGCGTCCGATTACATCTATGCCGACTTGCTAGTATTGCATGAACTTCAATGTTTTTCCGATGAATTTACAAAATCACAATCGAATAGAACTTGTAGTCGTGCTTTTCAACGTCTTAAGCCATTTTTACAAGATGGAATCGTCAGGGTAGGTTTGAATTTCGACCAACGGCACTCTATAGTTTTACCGCGTAAGGACCATATCATGAATTTATTAATAGATTACCACCATAAATTTAATTCTCACGCTGGCCCCGACTTGCTGATATCAATCTTGCGCCAGAATTATTGTATTCTTTCAGCGCGTAATTTAATTCGCAATCGGGTGCACAGATGTATGGCTTGCTTTCAAGTACATCCTAGCCGTCATTTCCGGAAATGGCGGACCTTAGTTCTTGTCAAGTAACACAATCCGTAAAGCCCTTTATGCACACCGGGTCCGATTTTGCTGGTCCGTTTAAGGTTACGCTCACTCGCGGGCGTGGTATAAGATCCACAAAACTTACGTCTGCATTTTCGTATGTCTGACTACTCGGGCTGTGCATATAGAACTCATTGGTGATCTAAGCACAGCGGGCTTCATGGGTGAATTTAAAAGATTTCTTTCCCGCCGTGGCCCTGTAAGTAAGTTGTATTCGGATAACGGTACAAACTACGTCGGCACGAAACGTATTTTATCAGAACTATATGAGCTTTTAACCAGTAAATATTATAATTAGGAGCTCACTCACATCCTAGCCGAGAACCGCATCGAGTGGTCTCTGAACGTCCCGGCCGCGAGCCATTTTGGGGAAAATTGGGAGACTAATATTAAGAGTCTAAAGAGTCATTTGTACCGAGTAATAGGAGATCAAATTTTATCCTTCGAAGAGTTAAACGTACGTAGCGAACACAGTACGCTCAAATTGAGGGCGTCATGAATAGTCGCCCCCTTTGTCGTACGTTGTCAAATGATCCCTCGGAGCCGCTGGCTCTAACTCCAGCACATTTTTTGAATTTAACGCATTTGAAATATCTGCCCGCCATAGACATGGATGAGAACAAACTTAGTATTTCCGCACGCCATAAATTATTGGACCGATTGGTGGAGTCGTTTTGGAAACGATGGAAGATGGAATACTTGCATACGTTGCAGTCTCGGCAAAAATGGAACAACGGAACATCTAACTGTCGGAACTGTGGTTGTGCTCACAAAGGAGAATACGCCGCCTCTCCATTGGCCATTACGGATCGTCGAAGAAGTTTTTCCCGGTTCCGACGGGGTAACTAGGGTATCTCGCGTTAGGACCACGCCTGGGTCTTACATGTGCCCTGTTGTCCGTTTGTGCCCTTTGCCCATTCAATAGTTTCAATTAGCTTTCTAGATGAGAAATTGTAGTCAAAAATTATGTATAATCTTAGCGTTAGTTATTTTGAAGGGGACCCTTCAAGCCGGGGGGGGAATGGTTACGTGTAAACGATTCATGTATTTTAATTTTATTCGAGGGTATATTGCCAAGCGTTCACCAATCCTTTGACCTAATATCCCTTATGTACACACTGAAAGGGGAAAGGGGGGAGTCTAGAAGGTGATTCGATTCTTTCGACCAATGAGAAGCGCGCCCGACGGATGTGCTTGGTGGGAAAAGCCGAGACAATAAAGGCTCACGCGCGGCCCTCGAGCGACCTCTTCCTTCGCACCACTGGCCTGGAACACATCTCTGGGGCGCCCCAGAAGAACCCACCTCACGTCGCATTACCGCAACGGAAGCGTCGTCTTCCGCATTAGAATCACACCCCGGTAAGTGTGTTTTCCCGTAATTTCATTCCTACTTGAGCATTTTGTTTGTTAGTTAACCCGCCCTATTTTGTTTTCACCTAATGTGCTTAAGTAGAATTCCCTCTTAACCTTGGCAAGCAATAGATTTTGGAAGAGCGAGTGCATTGTCCAAGGTGCCGCGTGCCACATCCACTTAGTATAACATCTCGCACAATAGGGTCAAGGCTCAACCTGGGAATCGAACTCGGGAACCCTTAGGCCCACTGCCTAACCAATACCAATGAGTCATAAATGGGTCTCTGCGTAGGCTTTGGAATTTATTGGGAACGCCCCAAGTTTAAACTTAACATGAATTTGGGTTGATTCGCCTCTATCTTCCGGGCAGAAATTTTCGCCATACTTTAGCGTGCGGAAATTAATCTGCAAATATACTACGTCAACATATAATTTATATAAATACCAATAGTCAAGCAGCGCTGAGGTCAAAATTAATTAACTCGAACTAGTTGGAGACAGTGTGAACCGTATACACGCTCTGGGATGTAACAACAGGATCATCTTAAGAGAGGTTCTGGGTCACGTGGGTATTTTGTAATGCACAATACTTTGTACTTGCCGACAAACTCGCATGGGACGGCACAAAGAGCACACACTTTGCTCCTTAGCTATTTTATGGAATCTCAAGAAGGTAAGCCGGATTGATCCTTGAATGTCTTTGTCATGATATATCACTTAAGGTCTGGTCTAACACACCATGCTTAAAATATTCTAACACCTTAATCCGGGCATTTGATCGTAAATTCGCTTCAAACCCTACGATCAATTAAAAATAAATTGCGCATTCTGGAAAAAGCCCTAACTGGACACTGTTGTCTTAAAAAACACATGTCCATCCAGGGACTAAGCAACTCAAGGATATGCCAATTCTGTTCCATAACGGGAGAAACGCTTCTGTATATCCTAACTGATTGCGGACCCATAATGCCCAAACGTAACACTCATCTGGGAAACTATGTACTCCACCTAGATGAATGGAGTTGCTCAAAGCTAAGCAACTTCTTCTATTCATGGAAGATATAGGGCTTAGCAGTAAACTAAAGCCATAGCAGCTATCACAATAGATCTTTTAAGTTGCAGTGATACTTGTCACTTTTCCTAGACTTGCATATTTGCTCGCACATAAAAAAAGACTAATTAATTTTGAATTTCTAAATAATTTATAAGTTTATGATAGATGAGTCATGATTAATGAAAATAATAATAATAATAATAATAAAATAAATTTAACACCAATTATAATAACAAGGGTTAGTAAAAAAAACAATGGTTTGCTTAAAATCTAGGGAAATAAAATAAATACACTGTGCCCAGACAGATCATCATGGGGGTGGATAGGGCCCAGTTATCAGTCTCTGCACAAGATATTTCCACAGCGGCGATGTATATCTGTCCGCTACGGTCCTCAGAATGCTGTTGTGACTGGCTCGTACCCCGCTAATAAGGGATGCGGTTTTTTTGCGTATGATGGCATTAAAACCGTCTGTTTGGTATGCCGCAAACATCTCCGATGCACTACAAAAACGAGACAGTCTCAACAGCATCCTGAATATATCATTATATTGGATGCGCAGGGCTTCAAGCGATCTTTTGGTGTATTTGACCCACAGGCTCCCCCGTGTACACGCTCTGGCAGTATGCTTTAAAAAAGCGTAATCTTAACTTGTTTCGTACAACGGGAAAACCTGCGAGCCAACATATTACCTCTAACCGCCATGACACTATTCTAACCATAATAACTAGGAAAAAAATCAGACTGAGTTTATATAAGAACCCTAGATTCAACACAGAATAAAAGGAACCTATATTTATTATTGAGAAACTCTCCCCCGAAAATTATCAGCTGGATGCTTCAGCTCGTAAATGTGGGAAAAAGCTTAAAAACAAATACACCTGGATTCGTGCTGGTCGCATTTACATGAAGAAATCTGATACAACCGAAGCTATCTTTATCCTTAGCACTGAAATGCTTTATAAGCTTAAATGACTATATTTTGTCATTATCCGTAATTGTTATATATAATATAAAATATCCGTATTATATTGGTACTGTTTATACTTCTTTTTAATATGGTATGTGAAAACACAACAAAATCGTATCAAACTTATTTACTGTTATGTTTGTTGGGGTCTATTGTTTTTTTTTTAAATTGCAGTCTAGGTCTTCCTAAAAGTCAGTAATAATATACAAAGGATTTAAATGATTGGCAGCTTATATGTAGTTTATCATAATAAATTAAAAGAATACAACTTTGTATGCAGTTGTTAGTATTTTCTTAATATAATGCAAGTCTTGCGCATGATGACTATTTAATATTGTCATAATATTATAATCATTAACCCTTTCCTTCCTTACGGTACTATTAAGTACCGGCTCCTTTTTCGTCTAATACATTGAATACGCAAACACTTCTTGCTTAAACTCACTGGCGATACTTGACGTGAGCCAATAAGAGCACACAATTCGGTCTATCGCTAGAACCGACCAATCAATTTGATCTGCAAGTAACAACTTGTCTTGCACTCAGTGAGTTCGCCTTGCGGTGTATTTGTTATAGTTTTAAAAATATAATATCATAGGTAAGTTCAAATACTTTCGATTATATAGTAAGTTTATATTATCAAGTAGATTTCTAAATACTTGCATGATGTATTATTACCTTATTTCATGTTTATATTTTATAAAAACCGACGAGAACTAAAAAGTACCGTCAGAAACTTTTGGTCTTATAATTTACTGAATGATATGATAATTATACACGATAATTGGGTACTTTGTTTCGTTATATATCAATAATTATTTTCTTATTGTTGTTCCATTTATGTTATAGATATACGGTAATGGATATTTCTAAAAAAACTGCCCTCATTGAAGTTCTGTTGTTAGAGGATCTTCCAGATGGTAGCGAAGATTCTGATGTAGGTGTTTCCGATGAAGAAATCGTAAAAGATCTTCAAGTACCCTTATCTAGAGGCTTCGACGACTATTTTGAGGAGGCTATTGAGAGGGTTTTAGCTGAAATTCCTCCATCGCCGACAAATGAAGAAGTGCCATCAGGTTGTTCTGTTGATCAGGTATATACATCTCCAATACCTATCCCCAGTCCCCAAATTGCTCTTCCTTCAACAAATACGTCCATGCCTAGAGCTACCCGACCGAAAGTAGTAGAACCAAACCGTAAGTGGAAGAAACGAAACTTAGAGACAAATATATCGGAATATAATGCAAATACTGAAGTAGTAGAAGAATTTTTTGCTCACTGTACTAAACCGACTGATATATTTCGTGTATTGATTGACGATATATTAGATGGGATTGTATACCAACGTAACCACTACGCTACGCAGAAAGGCAAGGTATTGAATCTAAAAAAGGAGGAACTTTTAGCATTTATTGGTATGAATTTATATATGGGCTACAATACTCGACCGGCTTGGACAGACCATTACTCTTCGGCATCTGATCTTAACAATCCACTTATATGCAACACCATGCCAACAGTGGCGAAGCTAGAGCTCCAAGCTAGGGCAAGCCCAAGATATAAATTGATTAAAGTATAGATTGTTGTTGTTAGCAGTTTTATAAAAATACACCAATCTTGATCTGTCTCCACGCTTCAGTTTCATATTCAGTGCTGTCAAGGACGTGTTTAACAAAGCACACAGAAGGCATACCACTGCTAGATAGATTGTATTGCATATCAGTAATTGCATAGCTTCGGTGGCTTTGAAGAAGGCCGTTTGGGTTTGTTTAAGCGAAAGAAAAAAAATATTTACATCCAATACAATACATGAACAAAAGTAAAACACGAGCAAAGTACAAACAAACTATGTACAAAATTAAAAAAAAAATATTTACATTCTAATGGATAAGAGATAAGATAAAATAAGTGGAATCGTCTCGCTTTCTTATGGAAAGATTTAATTACGTCCACATAAAATGTTGGTGAACGTTTTAATTGTACCAGTAACTGTTTTTAATTGCGATAATTGATAAGTCTGAAATACACTCTTAACCTTGTGTATTATCTCAACAAAGTTTAAAGATTTCCTCTCCGATTATCACTTTAACACACTTTAATTCATCACAAGGAATACTATTATCCTCCATTTTCATTAAAAATCTTTAAAAAAGCGTACATTTTGAACTCGTAATATTAAATCGCTTAAGATAAGCACACAGAGTAAATAAACATTGAAATGTGAAATGAACTTGCAAACGTATTGCCCGTGCGCCTCCGCTTTTAACAAATTTATTCCCAAAAGCCTGGTTTTAAATCTCTATACTAATTGCTATACATATATACAATCGTAGTTATATTTCGTTATAGAATATATACCTATGGCAAGGTTAGAAAGAGAGCGATCGTCTTCTCGAAAGCCCCGTAAAAAGCCCACGCGAGCGAGGGAGACAACTATTAGCTCTATTAAAACTCATTTTTTATGACAGCAGCAGTATCGCTAAGGCAATACGAGGTCATCGGTCGACATGTGTCAAACAGTGGAGTGCGCGGGAAATTTGAAATAGCTTGAAACATTTTACGAGTTATTTTATTAGTTGATATTATTGATTGATTCAGGTTTAATAAGGCAAGCCCAGCTTTTCGGCTTTAATGGAAGCTTCGCCACTGCATGCCAAGACAGATTTGCTATGATTTTATCTCATCTACACTTCAACGATAATGCTCAAATGCCTAAAAACTGCAAAGATAAGTTGTATAAAATAAGACCTATTGTTGATGCTCTCAATAAAAAATTTCAAGAGTGCTATTATGGGACCCGTGAAATGAGCGTGGACGAATCGATGATCAAATTCAAGGGTAGGTCTGTACTAAAACAGTATCTACCTATGAAACCAATCAAGATAGGATATAAGTTGTGGTGTCTTGCAGACCAGAGGGATCTATATAAAAAAAATTCAAATTTACCAAGGGAAAGATGAAGAAATGAGCGCAAAATTTTCAAAATATAGCTTGGGAGAAAGAGTAGTTTTAGAATTGACAGAACAAGAATGGGGTAAAGAGAAAATTGTCTATTTTGATAATTTTTTTACATCTGTTGCTTTACTTGAAAAGTTGAAAACTGAGAATACCTACGCATGCGGAACAGTCAGAAGTAATAGAAAAGGACTGCCTCCAAATATGCTCCCTGATTCAAAAATGAAAAGAGGGGAAAGTGATTACAGATTTTCAAACCTAGATATTGGATATTGGAAATGGAAAGATAACAAAGTAGTACATTTACTCTCTAATTTTCATGGAAATGAAGAGGCAACTGTGTCACGTAAAGAAAAAAATGGGTCTAAGTCTACAATAACATGCCCAATGGCTGTCAAACATTACAACACTTACATGGGGGGCGTAGACACAGCTGATCGTTTGAGAGCCCTTTACTGTATAGATCGCAAGTCTCTAAAATGGTGGTATAGGTTGTTCTGGGGTCTACTGGACATAGCATTTGTCAACGTTTTTGTCATTCATGGAGTTATATTTGAGAACCGTAAAGTACTACCGTAAAATACTTTCGACGCTCTGTTACTCAAGGCTTGATGACAATGAAAAATGCTGGTCAGAAAAAAAAGGGTTTCTTCAGATAATGCTCCAAGTTCTGGTCCTTCTAAAAGGCGCAAATCGAATTATTCTACTCTGAGAGACGTACGTTTGGGTAACAGAGGCATACATTGGCCTACATTTGCAGCTTCAAGAAGATTCAGTCCAAACCTTTTACTAAATGTTCCCACTGTAATGTATTTTTGTGTCTGAATGATAAAAAAACTGTTTTGTAGAATATCACGAGGTTGACGTTTGATCTCATTATTTTTACTTATTCATATTTTCTATCAAAGTTCCTAAAATTGTGATACATAAAGTAACTGACGGTACAAATTAGTCAAGGTCTTAGAAATAGTACTTCTAGGTATAATAAAAAAAATCTGTTGGTTTATTTTTACCTACTATAATAATATGAAAAGTTAAATTTGGAAAAATCTTTAAAAATCTATAGTCCGGTAGGAAAGGGTTAATAAAATCAAAATAAGATTAAAATTAATATTTTTTTACTTAACCTGAATGTGTTAGTTACTAATAAAACAACTCTTTTTACAACATCTAAAAACAGAAAATAATAAATTTATAATAATGGCCATCTATTTTCTCGGACTTACTATATATATATATATATATATATATATATATATATATATTAAGCAGGATAAAATAATACCTATCTGTGTATTATCAGAATGTGCAAGGACTTAGAACAAAGTAAGGCAAATTGTTCCATTTGGTATAACTCTGCTTTAATAAAAGTTCACGTGTTCACGTGAATAATATATATATATATACATATATATATATATATATATATATATATATATATATATATATATATATATATATATATATATATATATATATATATAATAGCTGCTTATCTAAACTACAAATATAGACAAAACAATATCTAGAACCCTTTACTGTAATGCAATAAAATATTATTTAAATTTTCTTAAGTTACAAAACCTCTCTGCTTTGTAATCGTTATTCAGCATGTTGTGAAACTCTGTTATTGGCTAAGTGTACTATATATATATCTTAAGTATCCTAGTTAAAAATGCTTCTGAGTTTCCTAAAAAAATTAAATTTAGTATTCTGGGTATTTACAAGTTCCTCATTACATACGCATTATCAATTTAAGTACGTGGATGTTTGAGTATGGGGATTCGATGCTGCTGGCGTGTCGCTCTTTTCTATCCTGAACTTATAAGGTAATTAGGTCACTTCCTCATATTAGCGAGTATTTTTACTATTTATTTGTCTACTTAGAGGGCAATAATACTAATTTGACCTAAAAATAAACCATCACATTCACATGCTGAGGCCATACATAACCTACACCCTTAAATTTCTGTGAATTTATTTACTGTCGTCGAAAGAAAACCTGCGTCTCCGAGGAAAAACAAATTTTGAAGGTATGGTAAGTTCGCCAACACGCGTTGGGGTGGACATTGTATTGCCCTTTAGAAAATAGAGGAAGCCTGTGTTCGTCAGTAGGGCGTCCATAGAAAGAAACACTACATTTTAATTTTTTTATAACATATAATGAAACAAACATCAACTCGAACAATAAAAGAAATTAATAAGTAAAAGAAAATAAAAATTTAAAAAATGCAACATGCTAAATAATATGAATTATGTCAGTAAGAATACCTTGATCAAAATCTTAAGTAGGAAGACATAGTAACAATAAAAGAAAATTATTCTAAGGTCAGGTTCGAGGTCATTATTAATGTTGGTGTGAGAAAATATTATAAAAAGGACATAAATTTTTCACAAAATGCGATAAAGTGTGCTTTATTTGCTTCAAACACTATTGTATTTTAATTTAAAAATAAATTAAAATATATTTTAATTGAAAAATAAATAAAATATAATTAATGTTCTCAAAACAGGATTTTTATTAAATGCATCATAGACAAAATTCGCGTAAATCTGTTTCTTCTTTACTTAAGCCCTCTCAAGAAATAGCGTATTCACTGCGTTGCAACGGAAATAATCTTTCACATGCTCATGCAATTCGCGTCTCAAAGCGCACATGTGCTGGGAGTAATAAACTCGATATACTTAGCAACACTTCGAGAAATAACTAGCAATACTAGATCAATTCACATGATTGCCTGTCAGAATGTAAGATATCTTTGAATAGTTTAGTTCTCTTAGTTAATCCAAAAGCATGTAGTATTTATTTTAATTTTGTTTACTGTGTAAAAATAAAAAATAAAACTTACATAAACTGTACGTGCCACAGCTTGCGACTCGTGCAGCTACTTTAATACTCGTAGTTAAGTTAGTTTATAGTTATGTAGTTTAGTACTAGTAATTTAGTTTGAGATGTAGTATGAGTTGCGTATAAAGTAAGCAAAAGTGTTGTTCCTTTAGCAGTTTATTACACACAGTAAGTTTAAAAATGGTGTTTTTAAACTTACTGTGTGTAATAAACTGCTAATTACACACAGTAAGTTTAAAAATATTACTTATTCGTCACGCGGTGGTTCGGACTGCATCAGCATAAAATAAATGTATGGTATTGGGACCGTACATAAACAATCCATCCATCCATTACAGGCGTAACGAGTCCACTGCTGAACATAAGCCTTATCCACAGATTGCCGGTGGATCATTATCATAATTGTCATGCTTGGCACGCAGGTTGGCAACTGCAGTATTTATATTATTTTGAATTGTTTTCAGAAAGACGTTACAGCCCATCTATTATTTCAGTTACCTTCTTTTTCCTCTTAGGGCATCCACGGGACGATATAGGGTAGTGGATATCTGACACCTTCACTACACGATAGCCATTTTAAAATGATCATTGAAAGTTTCCTTTACTCAATTTTTTTTTATCTATATGTTAAAGCATTGCACGTTATACTAATAATATTATTAATATTAAGAGTATTTCTCAAATGTAAAGTTCAATTAAAATAAGATCAGATGCCTTTTACCGCGGCTGATGTAAGAATGTCTAGTCGGCGGTGGAAAGCCAGCTGGTAATCGAACATTTTATATATACTAGTAAGAGAACATTTACTATAACACGTACTTAATAATACGTACGAGACTTATCGCATAAATTGACATTCATAGCTTGAAACAAAAATATATTCAAGAATGTGAAATTAAAATAATGTAGTATATATTTAATATAACAAAGAAGTTTTATCCATATTCTGTAGAAAATTAAAACATTCCAAGTCTGAAGCAGTTTGAGAACCGGCTATCCGGCGCTGGGTTAACTACGTCATTAAGTTTTAATTATCAGCCAGACCGTATTCTATGATTTAAAATTCGTACGCTTGTGATAAGGTTAAAGTTGCATGTTTAGAGGATCATATGTTGTTACGGCCCTCAGTTGCCCCGACAGAAGTCAACTGGGCTAGGGCCCATCATAACCCAACTCGACGAGCAACCGAGGATTCGGGCCCAAATGGCCTATGGATAATTAATTTATAATAGCTGGATAAGCAAACACAAACTTTGCACAAAGAGTTCCGGACGTAGGGTCGACCACAAGGTAATGTCAGGGGCAAGTAAATGGTAGGTGTGAGTGGTGTAGGAAGGTGTGTAATGTAACCTGACATCACCTATGTAATCGGCTAGCAGAACCACGTGCGTTGCCCTGTTCCACAAGGTGCAATCACTCCAGTGGGCGTTCACCGTTATCTGAACTCAAGTCGAACGTCACTTAGCACAAAACTATAATCGACGAAGGAACGCGATCTCCTCCCGGGTCACAAAGTTTAGCGTTCCAACCGACAAAGCAAAATTCCTTCGTACGATATTAAAATACTACACAAGCCACTCGTCGACGCAAATTAATAGCAATTGAAGTTAAATTAATTACTCAGCTCAAAGAAAGCCTCGTTGTCACGTATATGAACGAAATAAGTCAACGTCTTCTAATTTTAGAATCATGTTATGTTTTATTAGAAATTTATTTTGGAAAACAGCTAACGGTTTAGTGCTTATGACTGTCACTATTTTATAAATATCAGTATACCGATTAAAATTAATAAGTTTTTAAATGCAAAGACATCAGAGCAGGAAGTTAAGTTAAAAAAACGTCACACTCCTGGTAAATTGTGACTCGGAAAGGGAATGGCACAGAAAGACTCCTCAGTTAAAGTCTGTAAGGATTTAAAGGCAAATGTTGTAAATCAGAACTTTGTATTGATATACATCTATCGCAAGCTGTAATCTTTCTGGAACTTTGAATACATTTTTATGGATTTTATCGCGCGTTTAACTTCCTCTTTTTTTAATTTCCTATTATATAATAAGGGTGATAGACCAACCTGATGTTAGGTAGATGCCGTAGCCCGTTGTCACCCCTGAAAACTAAGATGGAATGCCTCGTATTCTGTTAGAATAGAAGGGTCTCCAGTTCTTTTACACTCAACATACGAAACACAACAGCTTTAAGCTGATTTTTACCATGGTATATTGTGAGAGCGTGGTCCTTCACCGATCAAGCCGACCTATTTGTGCTACAAACATAATATAGCGTAGCTCTACGACGTAAGAATGTCAACGGGTCTTCATATATATACTTAATGAAAGCTAGTATCAAATTTTAAAATAAAGATTTTTTGTCCAATCGACGCAGAATAAGCTTAAGCTATCTTGAAGTCTTGCAGTGGAATGCTTTATTTTGGATACAATTTTATTATGATGGGGTTCCAAGCTTAGGTCGTGTAGTGGCGGTTTAGAATATCCACTATACCATATCTTTCTGTGGGTGTCATAAGAGGCGACAGAGTGCTACAGGCAGGAGATGGGCAGCAGCATCTTCCTGATAACAAAAATAATACAATAAAAAACTGCGGCAAACATTTATTTACCCATGTTGACAATAATGAAAAACGACCCTCCGTTTCCAGCGGCCCTGCTATTCCTGTCTACGGTGGCTATGCCAAGATAACGTTGAAAAAGGGGAGGATCGAATACAAAAATCT